AACATATAAACTACTAAAACTGAAACAGGAAGAAATAGAAAATTTGAATACCAGAATAGAAATTGAAATAGTAATCAAAAATCTCCCAACAAACAAAAGTCCAGGGCCAGATGGCTTCCCAGGGGAATTCCAGCAAACATTTAAAGTGTTAATACCTATTCTTTTCAAACTGTTCCAAAAAAATAGAAATGGAAGGAAAACTTCCAAACTCTTTCTGTAAGTCCAGCATTACCTTGATCTCAAAACCAGACAAAGACCCCACCAAAAAGGAAATTACAGACCAATATCCCTGATTGACATGGATGCCAAAATTCTCACCAAGATACTAGCCAATAGGATCCAACAGTACATTAAAAGAATTATTAACCACAATCAAGTGGGATTTATTCCTGGGCTGCAAAGGTGGTTCAATATTTGCAAATAAACCAACGTGACAGACCACATTAATAAAAGAAAGGATAAGAACCATATGATCCTTTCAACAGATACAGAAAAGGCATCTGACAAAATGCAGCATCCATTCTTGATAAAATCCATTCTCAACAAAGTAGGGATAGATAGAACATATCTCAACATCACAAAGGTCATATACAAAAGACCCAGAGCTAATATCATCCTCAATGGGGAAAAACTGAGAGCTTTTCCTCTATAGGCAGGAACAAGACAGGGATGTCCACTCTCACCACTGTTATTTATCATAATACTGGAAGTCCTAGGTGCAGCAGTCAGACAACAAAAAGAAAGACATCCAAATCGGAAAGGAAAAAGTCAAACTTTCACTATTCACAGATGACATGATACCCTACATAGAAAACCCAAAAGACTCCACCAAAAAAGTGCTAGTACTGATACACAAATTCAGCAAAGTCGCAGGGTACAAAATCACCATATAGAAATCTATTGCATTTCTTTTTTTTTAAGAATTTATTTATTTATTTGAGAGGGAGAGGGAATGAGCAGTGTGGAAGGGCAGAGGGAGAGAGAAAGGGAGAAGCAGACTCCCTGCCGAGCAGGAAGCCCAACACGGGACTCAATCCCAGGACCCTGGGATCATGACCTGAGCCAAAGGCAGACGCTTAACCAACTGAGCCACCAAGGTGCCCCTGCTGCATTTCTATACACCAACAACGAAGCAGCAGGAAGAGAAATCATGGAATCAATCCTATTTACAATTGCACCAAAAACCATTAGATACCTAGGAATAACCCTAACCGAAGAGGTAAAAGATCTGTACTCTGAAAACTATAAAACAATTATGAAAGAAATTGAAGATGACACAAGGAAATGGAAAGATATTCATGCTCATGGATTGGAAAAACAAATATTGTTAAAAAGTCTATACTACCCAAAGCAATCTACACATTTAAGACAATCCCTATCAAAATACCACCAGCATTTTTCAGAGAGCTAAAATAATCCTAAAATTTGTATGGAACCAGAAAAGACCCCAAATAGCCAAAGCAATCTTGAAAAAGAAAAGCAAAGCTGGAGGCATCACAACTCCAGACTTCAAGGTATATTACAAAGCTGTAGTCATCAAGGCAACATGGTACTGGCACAAAAACAGACACATCAATCAATGGAACAGAATAGAGAGCCCAGAAATGGACCCTCAACTCTATGGTCAACTCATCTTCAACAAAGCAGGAAAGAATGTCCAATGGGAAAAAGACAGTCTCTTCAACAAATGGTGTTGGGAAAACTGGACAACCACATGCAGAAGAATGAAATTGGACCATTTTCTTACACCATACACAAAAATAAATTCAAAATGGATGAAAGGCCTATATTTGAGACAGGAAATCATCAAAATCCTCGAGGAAAAAACAGGCAGCGACTTCTTACTAGACATGTCTCCGGAGGCAAGGGAAACAAAAGCAAATATGAACTATTGGGACTTCAAGATAAAAAGCTTCTGCACAGGGAAGCCTGTGTGGCTCAGCCCATTAAGCGTCTGCCTTTGGCTCAGGTCATGATCCTAAGGTCCTGGGATCAAGTCCCGCGTCAGGCTCCTTGCTCATCAGGGAGCCTGCTTCTCCCTCTGCCTGCCATTCCTACTTGTGCGCACGCTCTCTCTCTCTGATTTAAAAAAAAAAAAAAGTTTCTGGCACAGCGAAGAAAACAATCAACAAAACTAAAAGGCGACCTACTGAATGGGAGAAGATATTTGCAAATAACATATCTGATAAAGGGCTAGTATCCAAAATCTATAAAGAACTTACTAAACTCAACACCCCAAAAAAACAAATAATCCAGTTAAGAAATGGGCAGAAGACATGAATAGACATTTTTCCAAAGAAGACATCCAGATGGTAACAAACACATGAAAAGATGCTCAACAACACTCAACATCAAGGAAATGCAAATCAAAACCATGATGAGATACCGCCTCACACCTGTCAGAATGGCTAAAATTAACAACACAAGAAGCAACAGGTGTTGGTGAGGATGCAGAGAAAAAGGAACCCTCCTAACACTGTTGATGGGAATGCAAACTGGTGCAGCCACTCTGGAAAACAGTATGGAGGTTCCTCAAAAAGTTAAAAATAGAACTATCCTATGACCCAGCAATTACACTCCTAGGTATTCAGCCAAAGTATACAAAAATACTGATTTGAAAGGGCACTTGCACCATGATGTTTATAGCAGCATTATCAACAATAGCCAAATTACAGCAAGAGCTCAAATGTCCATCAACTGATGAATGGATAAAGATGATGTGGTATCTGGAAAACAGTATGGAGGTTCCTCAGAAAGTTGAAAATAGAGCTACCCTACAACCCAGCAACTGCACTACTGGGTATTTACCCCAAAGATACAAATATAAGGATCTGAAGGGGTACGTGCATCCCAGTGTTTATAGCAGTACTGTCCACAATAGCCAAACTATGGAAAGAGCCTAGATGTCCATCAACAGATAAACAGATAAAGAAGAAGTGGTATATGTATGTATACACACACACACACACACACACACACACACACACTGGAATATTATGCAGCCAACAAAAAATGAAATCTTGCCATTTGCAACAACGTGGATGGAACTAGAGGGTATTATGCTAAGCAAAATGAGTCAATCAGAGAAAGACAAGTATCATATGATCTCACTGATATGAGGGAGGGAAAAACGAAACAAGACAAAACCCAGAGAGGGAGACAAACCATAAGAGACTCTTAATCTCAGGAAACAAACTGAGGGTTGCTGGAGTGGTGGTGGGTGGGAGGGATGGGGTGGCTGGGTGATGGACACTGGGGAGGGTATGTACCATGGTGAGCACTGTGAATTGTGTAAGACTGATGAATCACAGACCTGTACCTCTGAAACAAATAATACATTATATGTTAATAAAGAAAAAAAATAGTAAAAAAAAAAGATGATGTGGTGTGTACACACACACACACACACACACACACAGAGGAATATTACTCAGCCATCAAAAAGAATGAAATCTTGCCATTTGCAACAATGTGGCTGGAGCTAGAGTGTATTATACTAAGCTAAATAAATCAGTCAGAGAAAGACAAATATCATGATTTCACTCATGTGGAATTTAAGAAACAAAACATGAACAAAGGAGAAGGGGGAAAAAAAGAGGGAGGCAAATCATAAGAGACTCTTAACTACAGAGAACAAACTGAGGGTTGATGGAGGGAGGTGGGCAGAAATGGGCTAACTGGGTGATGGATATTAAGGAGTGCACTTGTGATGAGCACTAAGGTGTTATATGTAAGTGATGAATCACTAAATTCTACTCCTGCACCCAATATTACACGATATGTCAACCAACTAGAATTTAAATAAAAACTTAAAAAAAAAAGAAAAGGAAATATACACTAGTAAGCAAGGAAATTGAAGTCATAAAAAGAAAAAAAATAAAACTATAACCTTTCAAAGAGAAACACAGCAGGAAAAGTTTATATGTCATAAATAATCACCCAGACAAATGAATATTTTATTTCCCACAAACAGGGCCCAACAAGTTGCCATTATTTGAGTGAACCGCTAATAAAGAATCCAAAATTCAAAAGAAGCCCATTTGCAGAAGTGCAACTTAACCTCTCTCTCCTGGACAGTAGCTTTCAAAAAGATATATAGCATCATATTCTTAAACTCTTAGAGGAGATGAAGACTCAAGAGTAGGATATCAGTCAAAATCCAACTAGAGAATGAAAACAACTCGGTGTGTTCATAATTGGGGATTTAATGAAGACAAATGGTTACACAGATGACGGAATAGCTGAGAGACCAAAAAAGAAACTGTGAGGCTACCTACTGCATTAGCAGCAGGAAGCCATGACTGCCCTAGGCTAGAGAGACACCGGAGTGCAGGGTGCTGGGTCACCCGGCAGAAGCTGGAACACCACTGGAGCTACCTAGAAGAAGCCAGAACCACAGAGGAAATGCAGCCACTAACAGAGAGAGGAGAGGGAAGAGTACTCTCCCCTTTCTTCCATCCTCTCCTTCAATTTCTCACCAGTGCCTCCCAAACTCAGCAGAAGACAATAGACATGGTATCGTGGGAAACAGACAAGGGACGGCCACCTAGCAAAACAGTGCAGGAAGGAGCAATGAAATGGAATGTAGGAATGTATCTGAGAACAAAAGGGCCAATCCAGACATAAATTCTGTTCAGGAAAAATTAATTCTAAAGTCTAAAACATTCAACAGTAATAAGTGTGCAGTTATAAATCCTAGACATCTCATCAAATTTGAATTAATAACTTATTTTTTCTAAGAAATCTATATGTCCTAGAGTTTAAGGCTAGGCACTGTATGTTACAGTTACTTTCAGACTTGTACAATACAGTATCAGTTCTAATGAAGTCTCTATAGTATGATTATATTACTTTTTAAACTAAAAATGAATTTATTTTGAAAACTAAGAAGTTACTGTAAGAGAAAGTAATCTGACTAAAGTTAAGAGTTCTCATTTTGGAATCAGGTCAACCTCAAACAAACATTTAATTTATATGTCCCAAAAAAGTTAAAACCATACCATTTAAATCTGCATTTTCAAATCTGACCCAGACTATTTTCTCCTTTTCTTCTGTTAGAGGTGTTCCACTGTAAGCCTGCATAGTAAACAGAAACATTTGAATAAAAATGTTTTACAGTCTAATATTACTGATGTTCAAGACAAAAAGTAACTTAAATAAAGCCAGCCCTATCCCTCTCCAATTCCACCAATCCTACATTTTGGGAACCAATTCTGTAATATTTTTACTCCCAAAGTTATCCCGAGTCTGATAATCTTGGTTAAAGGAATTTTACCCATTAAAGAATTGCAGAAACCTAAAATACAATGATCTTAGTCTATTAGAAAGCATCACTATAATGCAAAGGCACTCAATAAACTAAATCATGCCTATATTGGTCAACAAATAAGAAGGCTTAAGAAATAAACAAAACTGGGGGCACCTGGGTGGCTCAGTTGGTTAAGCAACTGCCTTAGGCTCAGGTCATGATCCTGGAGTCCCAGGATCGAGTCCTGCATCGGGCTTCCTGCTCAGCAGGGAGTCTGCTTCTCCCTCTCCCACTCCCCCCTCTTGTGCTCTCTCTCTC